GGGGGGGGCCCCCCCCTCAAAACACTACCCGCCTCCCCACCCGCCTTCCTGTCCTCCACGCCAGAAGTCACCTCGAGCAAGGTTAGCGTTCTCTCTCTTCGTACCGTATTTTGTGTCATATTTTTGCGGTTTTTTAAAAAAAAACATGGTTCAGAACGGATTAACCGTAATTACATTGGACCTTATGGGGAAATTTGGTTTGACCGAATTGGTCGCGACCAGAGTCGCGGAACGAATTAAGTTCGTGAACCGAGGTACCACTGTATTTAGGCAAAATCTGCTTTGCAATTCCAATTAAATTATTCAAGGCCTGCCCTCTGTGGCAGCAGAAAATAACTCCTCTCTTTTATAACAGCCTTTCAGACACTCAACGTTTCTGCATCTCCATAATCTTCTTTGCAGGTGAAACCTACCCAGTTCCTTGCATTTAGAAAACTAGACTCAAAGGACGCAGTCTCAGTTAACATGCTAATGTTCTGTCTGCAGGGATTTTGAACTGTATTTAGTCTCTAGTTCTCCGCATGATCTATTTACAGCTTTTTCAGGTTTCATGTCTTTGTTCAGTTAATAGTCCAAGAATTCCAGGAATGACAAAAATCCACAAGGCATTATTTAATAGGTACATCACAAAACGTAAGGTGTATTCTCTTTTTCCATACTAAGAAAGTCACAATTTTCAAGAGACATAATAGGCTATAAAAAAAGAACGACCAGGAAAGAGGGGGGGGAATGGCTTTAAAAGGGAGAGAAGGGGGTGCCAGTATTAAAAGTGTATGTAAATATCTGTAAAATGTAAAAGAAGACAAAAAAAAAAAGCTGACACACCCATTATGACAACTGGCCAGAAGTGTATCCAAAAGGAGACAATAAATGGAACAGGAAACGTTTGCAAAGATTTCATTTAGAATCTACGACTAATACATGTACGGGACTCTCCTAGCAATCCCCAACCCACAAACTAAGACCAGAGCCTTGATCCAAAAGGAATACATGTATAAAAGAGCTGCATCAAAAAGCATGCCGGATGTGATTATGGAAGAAGAGGATTTTGTTTTCATTGTCTGCACAAAACCCATTTTTGCTGCATCCCAAATGGTGACACTGATAAGCACCCAAAGGCCACAACATCTAAACCCTTTAGACTAAGATACGCTTGAAAAGTTCCAGGAAGGGTTCTCTCGAGCCCATGGTCACCACGCTCCTTCCAAATCACAAACCACCCTTTCATTTACCCCCAAATATAGCGGAGAAACTGGGACAGAAATTTGTCCAGCTCAAATCCACTGCTCTAAAGTTTTCTATGCAGGATTCATTCCTCAACACTGCATTTTGAGGCCCAGGTGGGTTTTCTGGGGCAGGTGAAACAGAGACATGAAGAAAGGCTGAAATTCCGGCCCTGAAATTCATTATAATGGTGGTAAACCTGCCCCTTGAAATATCGATTTGCCCCATCATGACCTTACAGGGCACGGTCGTGGCTGTCCGTCTTTAACGCAAGCAGAGGGTTCCAAACTAGTGGCTCTGCTGGCTGAATTATTATGGGAATTGGAGTCCACATCTGGAGGACTCCAGGTTAGGAAAGGCAGCTTTAAACCTTCCTATTGCATGCAGTTCTTCGTAGTAATCATTTTCACTGCATGAGGAAAAATGTGCCTGGGGAAGGGAGAAGATGACAAGGCAATGAGCAGGTGGTGGAAAACAATCTCAAACTTTCCCCTCCCATGGCCTGAAGGCTCTTTAAACTCCCCCCCTTGCAGCTCCTCTTCCCTGCAGTCTGCACCATCCCACTCCTTTCCCCCCCAAGATAATAATAAAAAAACACTAAAAGGACAGAAGATGGAAAGAAAAACCAGGGGGAGGAAATCAAAATTCCATGGTTGTTTTCCTTTAGGGAAAAATGCCTTGGGGGGTGAGGGGGAACCTAAATGGCAGGCAATGAATCCCACAACAGGGCCTTCTCAGCTTCTTCTGAACGGCAGTTAATCTTCTCCACCAATCGGCCCATCTCCTGACTTTCTTGCAGATATCCAGAAGAAAATTTCTAAAGAAGGAGGAAATAGGTGGAAAAGGAGGCTTGTGGCCCCCTCCCCCATCTGTTCTCCCCTTTTGAAAAAAGCAGGAGAAGGTGAGCAAACTAGCAGGTAGAATATTGCAGGGGATAAAAAGGTTTCAGTAGATCCACCCCACATTTTCTCCCAGGTGGGAAAAGAGATACCAAAGAGAATACTGCAGAGAGTATCCCTGGTTAGAAGGATGGAGACCTATTAACCACAGTTCTTCAACCTAATCGCCTCCAGGACCCACTTTATATAGGACTGAGGCCAATCGAATATCAGACTTTAACAAGAAGGTTGTCCTGGACGCACGCTCTCTGATTCTGCAAGTGCTGGGCTATACACGAAACTTTCGGGACAGCCTGCCCGCTTCCCCCTGTGAACTTTTTTATGTTTGGTGAGATCTGAGCTCGAAATGAAACACTTCCCGCACTCAAAGCAGCCGTAGGGTTTCTCCCCAGTGTGGGTCCTCTGGTGGGTAATAAGGGACGATTTCCGATTGAAGCATTTGCCGCAGTCCAAGCACTTATGGGGCTTTTCCCCTGTGTGGATGATGTTGTGGTTCAGGAGATTAGAGCTGGTACTGAAGCTTTTCCCACACTGGAAGCACTGATAAAGGTTCTCCCCGGTGTGGATCCTCTTGTGTGTAATCAGGGGTGCTTTAGCATTGAAGCTTTTCCCACACTCGGAGCACGTGTAGGGCTTCTCTCCCGTGTGAGTCCTCTCATGGATGATGAGGTGAGTTCTCTGGCTGAAGCTCTGTCCACAGTAGGAGCATTTATACGGTCTCTCTCCCGTGTGAACCCTTCTGTGCATCATCAGGTTGGTTCGAGTGCCAAAACCTTTCCCGCACTCGGAGCACTCATACGGTTTCTCCCCCGTGTGGATTCGCTTGTGTGCAATGAGAGAGGCTATCTGGTTGAAGCTCCGGCCACACTCGGAGCAATGGTACGGCTTCTCACCTGTGTGCACCCTCTTGTGCCTCAGCAGCTGGGAGCTGTTTCCAAAGCTTTTCCCGCACTCGGGACACTCGTACGGCTTCTCCCCCGTGTGGGTCCTCTCGTGGGTAATCAAGGACGACTTCCAGTGGAAGCCCTTGCCGCAGTCAGCACACTTGTGCGGCTTCTCCCCCGTGTGGACAATGTTATGGTAGATCAGGTTGGAGCTGGTCGTGAAGCACTTCCCGCATTCGGAGCACACGTAGGGCTTCTCTCCCGTGTGGGTCGCTTTGTGCTTCAGGACAGCCGCCTTTGTGCCAAAGCTTTTGCCGCACTCGGAGCACGGATAGGGTTTGGCTCCAGCTCCAGTGCCTTGGCCAGATGCAAGGGGCGCTCTGTTCTTGAAGGTCTTCCCACATCGGGGGCAGATGTAAAATTCGTCGGGGTCCATTTTCTGATTGGGAGGAAGGTCATCAACCTCGCAGAGGTGTCCGCACTCTGTGCATTTCCTTTTGCTCTTATTCTGGGCTCGGTCTTCTTTTACAATGCTTCCATCGCCTTCTTGGCCAAGCACGGCCTTCTTGGGAAGGTCTTCCTGGAAGCTCTGTAGCTCCCGCGGATTCCCAGGCTCAGCCTCTTGCTCATCCTGGAATGGGAAGAGCGTCCCTTTGGCCAAAGGGGTTTCCAGCTGAAGGATTCCATCTTCTTTTGCCTTCGTTTCATCATTACCTGCAGGGATCATCAGAGCCTGGTGAGTCACAGTCCATTAGCATGGAGAATCCATCTTTACCAAGCTTGCGTACAATCGTGATATATGCTTCATTCAAGGAAGTTAAGATGCCAATTTCAAAAATCTGACTGTATCAAGTTTAGGAACAAATGTTTCCTTAAAGATGAAAGAGGAAATTCACCCAATCCTGGCACTTTCCCATTACACATAGTCAAAACTACTTCTTTGAACTCATCTACGGTAAAATGAAGTAATAATATTTGGTGGAAGGGAAATCTAATTTTGGAAAACCAAGTTTAGCTTCAAAATCCTCTATGTCTTTGCAAAAGGATTCTCAGGTTTACAATATAGATTAGAATAAAATATGAAGACTGTTAAAGGCACCAGGCTAGAAACAGGAGACCCTGACTTCTAGTCCTGCCTTCAGCATAAACCCAACTGGGTGACCTTGGGCTAGTCGTTCTCTCTCAGCCCTAGGAAGGAGGCAATTGCACACCACTTTGAAAATATTGGTAAGGAAACTGCAGGGACTGATCCAGGCAGCCACCAGGTGTCAAGACTGACTCAAAGGTGTAAACACACACACACACACACACACACACACACACACACAAATTTATATCTTTGGGAGCACTACATGTAAGTTCCATTTCAATGGGTGTGTAGAGAGCCACGGGGATGACCTTGGAGTAACTCAGCACAGATGATGGTTGCAAAAACATGCTTAAGCTTGGGAAACCAAGAAAGCATGAGAAACAAGGTTAATCTGACTCTTTTCTGATTCACTACAGCAGTGCTTCTCAACCTTGGCAACTTTAAGATGGGTGGA